TGACCAAATGCTAGCAACATTGGAGGCTTTCTTGAGGCGCCGTGCCTGCCAAATGTCTTTGTTTCCTTGCTCTGACCGCCTACACGCGATGAATGTCCACGCGCGATGACCTTAACCTCTGGAGAGGACACATATGCACGCGAGCCCACACGCGCGCCCACTGGTCGCTGTTATCCCAATGCAGCCAATCAGGCCACAAGAGAAAGCGCTTGACAAACCCTTATAAGCCACTGTCACATCTAAGACGGTGAGTTGCACACGGACTGTGAGGACACCGTCAGTCCGTTCCCGATGCCGGACTAGCCTCGAGCCGGGACAAAGAGCACGCTGGAGGTCAACCAGCGGCACAACTGTCATCCGCGAAAGCAAGTCCGGGTTTTGTACACAATAGACCCTCCTCCGGGTGGATTCCAAAATTACGTCCTTCTTATTGTGTTTTTCCTTGGGGATTCCAAAGGGCGTAAGTAGACACACGTCAGAGGTTACCGTTATAACAGGAATAAGCATAAGCCATTGGAAAGCCTGATTCGAAGAACGAAAACATAACAAATCAGATCAATCTGCTTATCGATGTGCAAAGAACAATGCAGGCGTACATCGGCGCTAGACTAACATCAGATGTCCACTTCGCACATGCCCTGCAGCCAGTATGCAGTGCTTGCGCGACCGACACAAAAGGCAAATTCCATGATCTCCCATCCGTGCAGTGTGTGCAGTACGCACATTGGAGGTTCCGCTGGAGAACAACGGCGGGCAGACTTTCCAAGGGCAAAAGTTGTCTGGGCTTTGTTAGGTCTACCCTAGGCCTTAAGTACCAACGCAAAAGTATGGCACGCGTAACATGGCGGCTCATCATGTCACTGGATTCACTGGTAATGTTTTCTTTTCAGCACTGCGCCCATCCCACCTCAGGCGACCGAGCAGCTAGGCGGTGGCCTGTTGCTGGCGGTGGGGGAGAGAGTGAAGTCAACATTCAGCGCATTTTTTTCCTTACTACAGTAGTCGCCGGTTATTAAGCCCACATCTAATAAGCCCAGCAGCGTATTAA